TCTTCGCTGCAATGCAAAGTGTATTATTAACTGCCTCCACCATGCTGGACTGCCATGCAGAGGTCCCGGGTTCGACTCCCGGGCTGGGAGAAATATTTGTATGGCCTACATTTATTTCTCTCGTGAGTGTTGGTGTAATTTGTGGTTGTCTACCTATGTGTGTGTCCATGCCACCCGCGATACAGGGTTTCCCTAGTGCGGGGATATGAGTGTGTGCATTGTTTGTTTGTTGTTTTATTATTATTTTTTGTTTAATAATTACAAAACCGTTAACACGGTTTTACTTTACACTCTTAAACCTAAACAGATTTGTATGAGTGTTGCAACTCCTCTAACATAATATATAACATAAAAATATAAAAAATATAAATATAATATATAACATGGATTACTTAAAATAAAAAATAGAAAAATGAAGATAATAAATATGTACTATAAATATTATTATTATGTTATATATGTATAAGCAGATTATAAAAAAAATTACATAAAAATTTTTTGTTTAAGATGCAGTGGTTAGCGCGTTAATAAGTCTAGGAATCAAGTAATTGGTCGTACGAGCACCATAAAAATTTCGAGCTCCTACGGTAATGACGGTCTCTTGGGTGACCTGCCATGTGACTATGCCAAAGTTCTTTAAATTTTTACACGAAATTATATTTTTTTTTTTGCTAAAACTGTTATTCTAAGTTACTTACCGTCTACAGTCATCCAGACGCAACGAGGGATTTCACCTTTAAGCAGTAAACGTTCCATTAACTCGCACAATTTTCTATTTTCCGAACGACACAATTTTGAACGAACGGTATCTTTCAGACAAATACATACACGGGTCAAGATCACATCAAGTTCGATACTTAAGATTTAAATTTAACTCGATGTCGCTTACTACAAGAACAGTCCAAAGTAAAATGTCTAGCTAAGTGCTCATTATTTATCGTTAAATAATTATTTACCTAAACTTCTTTTTTTTAGTATTATTTGTTAACTTCTATGTAATGACGCATGTTGTGCTTTCCATTTGTTTTAAGTCTTGTGTTGTAGTCGAAAAGTATTGTGTGCTGTGATTTAATAAGGAATAAATTATTTGTATTCTATTCTAAATGTGTTATTGACTGTACAATAAATATTCAAGTCTTTACTTACCATCAGAAGATATTGTTATGGAGATTACAATTATAAAAACTTGTTTAGTACCATAAACACTTTAATATCCTAACATATGACACTTTCATATATTTATTGTTACGCTGTGTAAAACAAAAACCATCATCATCATCATCAACCCATTGATACGTCCCATTGATGGACACAGGTCTCTTCTCAGGCGAGGGATTAGAGCCTTAAACTTTACGCCACGATGTTTTCCTTCATCGAAAAACTCAATGTAAATTTCAAATTAAAAAACTCAGAGGTTCGAGACTGGATTCGAACTTACAGCATCTGTTTGAGAGGCGATACGTCAAACCATTATGCTACCACGGCTTTTAAAACAAAAATACTAAAGGTAAAAACTGTAAATATCTAAATATTACATCTACCGGCACGTATTACAATGTTGGTTCACAAAACTCATCGAAGATAATTGTCGCCAATACGAGTTAGACTAGCGTGATAATGTGACCTAACACCTCCTTAAGAATAATAAAGTAAAAACAGGTCTATATTTCATGTTGAGATATTACATTATATTCTGTTTACATATTTTAAGAATATTTCAATAATATTTTTTATAGTATAATAAAATAGGTATGAGAGTTAAGAATATCGAATCGTAAAAGTATTTTATGGCAGTAAATCCACTATAGTGACGAGGGGATTACTTCAAAGTGTCCTACAGAGTGAAGAAGGCAAGTGCCTTACATATTTTTTGTATTAGCTACCATTAGGTTTTTACTAGCCACTATATAGGTACTTATACCGTCGAGAATGCAAAGATTTTTCTATGTAGCAACAACAAATATATACACTTTTTGTAAATGTCACTTTTTACGTTAGTTCCTTGTCCATCTTACCTTCAGTGAAAAAGTGCTGATCATCTTGTTCTCCAATCAAAACTATTCACCGCACAAAACTCAACACGGTCAACAGCTCTATTTTCTTTCACTATTAATTTTCAAAATTCGCAACGGTTTCCATCTGACGCCAAAGCCTCCGATAACAATCCGGCCGGCCGCTGATTACATCGCCCACCTCGACGCAACTCCCGATTTCGCAGGTGCTTTTATTGTCACATGACAGCAGGTGTCCAGATTATGTCTCATGCCTCTCTACCATAGACGATACCAAATTTCGGGCAAAATTCTGCAATCTCAATAACTTAAAGTACCTCGGATTGTTCATGCACTGTGAAGTACGATGACGAGGTGTCGAGTCGACAGTTAATTTTACGAGAACATTTCAATATCTTTTATAAAAAATTACGGTTGATTCGTTTCTTACAAGAAATCGTGATCGCGCGCGCCCGTTGGATCGACCGAGCGTCCCACCGCACCACTGAGGGCCCGCGAGGCTCCCGCCCGGTCGCGGTGCTGTGCCGCGCATGCGCACGTTGCGACACCATCACCCCCCGCTCGCATCTCAGCCGGCTGCCACCGACTGTACATCTCCTGCTCCTGACGACCTTCCACGCGACCTTACCTCCCTCGCGTGGCGATGGTCAGCGTCCTATGCGTAATAGTACGCCCCTCGCAACGCCGCACGCTAACCACGATGCCAACGACGATATAAGGATCGCAAAAATGACGTCAGGAATCTACTCACACACAACTTCCACAGCGCCGAGTCGACTGCTCGTGTACTTTGTGCTATATTTCATTAACGCGATGTGATCGGACATAAAATAACAAATAAAAGTGATCCTTGGATTACTGATCCACGTACATCACTATGTATGAGGGGTTACTGTAGTAGTGTAGTACGTGGGCCATCAATTTTTTTCTGACGTTTCTGACGCTTATGCGCAATTTTATTTCCATTAGTTGCTTCGTTAAACATAGCTTCGTTAAACATACTATGTATGGTTATATACAGACTAGAGTCGTTAAATCACCAGGAATAAATAAAAAGCAATCTATCTGTCTCCAGGGGTGGTATAGTATTTTTATACTATACAACCCCTGGAGACACATTTTTGTGTCTGTAATACAAGGTCGTGAACGGTGTTGTTTCCCCTGTTCTCGTCTGAATAATACGCTCTACCTAAAGTTCGAGACTCGCACCCGGCAGGGCTCACTGATCGGCTGGACCCGACACACGTTTCATAAATAAAACACGATAATGTAAATCCTAGATAAGTATTTAGGGAATACTTGCTTGTTGTCATGGTAAATAAAGCGGATTTCGCAAAATGTTGAGTAATCATATTTTTTCCGCAGTATATTTTCACATAAATCCGTAACTTTTCTACATAATTATTGCCGATTAAACCATTAAATGAAGGACGAAAAAATAAAGCAAATTGTTGCATATCTTAAAATGTACTCAATGATGGTTTGTAAAACTTGCAAAACAGCAACAAATTATCGCATATTTACACAAACAAACAAAATCATCCTGACCATGTCACATAATTTGTATTTCTTAAAACGCATAATAGTAATATACAGCATATTACAAAAAGGTCCTACCACATAAACAACTTCAACTAAACACGTATTACATTTCATTTTCGTTATAGTTCTTTTTTTATCAACTTATTGTGGATAAGTTTATCACTAGTTGCAATATGATAACACCTTTTTGTTATAGCCAGTACAATCATTAATATCACTAAACATAAAGACTTCGAAGAGAATTAATCACTAGGCATAACAGTTTCCGTTTGGTTGTTAATTGCACAGAGTAATCACTTGTGTAACCTGACAATGGCAGGCACGTACGAGTATACATAACACTATGAATCAATTCATAACAATTGGATTTAACAATATTACATACACAATTCGCGTATTGAATAACATTTATATTTAACAGGCTCGATACACCGACAGTGGCGCAGTTGGCATATTTTGAGAGTTTAAGAGTCTATACAAGCTCAAATGGCTTTGGTTGATTCCGCATAACAGTGACAGTGTTGAATCACTTTGGAAAAAATATATAGTGAAATTGAGGCTATAGGTACACTGAATAAGGAATGAAAACAAGTTTCCTAAAAATTTTCACGATAGAAAAAAAAACAAAGTTACCTCGAAATTTTAAAAACCCAATTTCAATAGGTACTTTACATATAATAATGATTATTACTTTTTTATATCAACTGAACCAAATAGACCACGCTTTCCATACGATATACATTTTTCAAACGGATTTAATTTCATTAAAAAAAATAAAACCTGAAAGTTTCCTTACGTCTATTTGCCAAGTTTTATTGAAATCAGTTTACGGAAAGTAGGTGGAATATTTTCTTAAATTATTAATGGGACCACTACTGTGACACCCTCTGTCCAACAAAAATGTTTGAAATCGGTTCACAAATGTCAGAGTAATAGCTTAACATACACATTAAAAAAAAGCAGTCGAACTGAGACCCTAAAAACGAACATCAAGTAGGTCTATTCTAACGCAACTTGATGATGGTCTGGTGATGAGGCTTTTAGTGGACCATAGCATTTAGTTAAGGTTAATGGGGCTTTCATTCTGGAAAATTTTCATCTCAAAAATTTCGAGAATCTCAACGAGTTTTTGGCATTTTCAAGACTCGACACTGATGTTTTCAAGAATATCTATCGAGACTTTTGAGACTGAATTAAACAGTATTAAAAAATGTACTAAATCAACAGTCATATTCTATTCTGGTTACATGGACATGGCAACACTGTAGCGTGGAGCTTAGTATAATCTGTGGAGATTAGGTCCTCTCTATCTGAAATTACGTTAAACGCCCTTTGTTTTTTTCGTGCCCACTATAAAAATTAAAAAAAACTTTTATAAATAATTTATATTTTATAATTTGAGCTAATAAAGAATTTATATTTTACTGCCTAAATCCCTAACGTATAAGTATGAAAACTTACTTTTGAAGTCGTCTCGAAAGTCTCGTTTTTCCCGGTATTTGGCAAACGGCACCGAGATTTGTCTTTTTTCAAGACACGCGGAAATGCAGCGAAACTGTAAGCCCTAATGGCTACCGTGTCGCGCTGCGATCGAAGTCTGGAGCTCGCAAGACTAAGGCAAACATTATTTTTTACTAACTATAATAAAATACACATGAAAGCAGAATTGAAGATATCACTGCGTTATTTAGCACGAATTTGAAAATCTACACTAGAAATAATGACATTGGGATCAAGATAAGAAATTATTATTATATATTAGTATACATATAAGACATTATTATTAAAGTACAAAGCAGTTACCTAACGCTTCACTAGATAATTCAGATATGTAAGGAAAATCTATAATATATTCATGCTGTGGCTTACAGTGGATCGATTTAAAACTTTATGGCCTCTTATTTGTATCCTCACAAGCAACTACTACAATTGCTATACTCACTTTCTTTTATCTACCTACACTAGCTTCTATCACTACGCATTAACAAACTTGGCCCTTAGAAATGGTAATCATGCACTATGTGGTGATTACGAATAATGCTACAAACAAACTATGCGCTCTGTAAACGCTCCGATGATGGTCATGTCGGTTGATAGAGCTGCCCGCATCACTTGTGGTGCTACTGCATCTTTAACCTTGAGTGTGAACTCAAATCGCGTCGGGGACGGAAGAGTTCCACCCACAGCGTTCAAAATTCTCGTCCTTCCTGCTGCATCCAAAGGTTTCCCTTCAACACTATCGCCCAACACCGTCCGCGCACACAACGACCGACATGCTTCTTTCTCAGCTTCGTATAGTTCTCTCGAGGCTATCTCAAAAGTTCTTCTTTTATCCAATCCGCTGACACTGGAACTAGCTCCAGGCACACCTTCCTCCATAGCCTTGTTTGCTCCAGCTCGTAACAAAGCTGGGAGCAACAGTTCAACGACATTACTTACTGTGCGAGAACGAAGGAAATGTAAAACCTGCTCCGCCTCTCGAGTTTCATCAAAGAGTCTACGTTGTCGTGATGCTGGAACAGGTCTGGCTACATTCCAAGCTTCGACCCAAGGGTTACCAGGTAACAACATCCTATCTCCTAACGCACCACCATTATCTGGTTTCCAATCTCGAGGCGAATACCACTGCACAAAATCACATAACTCAGCACCAGGGTTAGCGGCTTTGAATGATTCCATGTCGGACAGCAAAGAAGCGCTCATCATTCTTGCGCGTAGTTCTGATGCTTTCGCATCGTCGCCAAGGCGCACCATCAATTCGGCATCTTCTTCTAACTGGTCTTCAGTTTTTGGCGCCGGATCCTATATTGAAAAGTCAAATTAAATTATGCAAATCATAACCAAAAGTATCCAGTTACCGCGACTACAATAAAGTAACAGTACCTGTATTATCGTTATGCATACCTGAGTACGTGGAATGTAAAGAGGTGCTCCGTTTTTAAGCGTGGCGTCGCCAAGTTTTTCTATGCGACCAACGGGTCGATCCCAAAGAGGGTGTTCCTCGCCCTCCCCGTCTGAGCAATCGAAGAACTCATCATCAGACGAGTTACCAGTTACGCTGTTCTTTCCATCTAATGCTCGTTTGATGCAGCAATTGAGGAGCTGCAGTTTCTGATGAAGTAGGCAAGTTCGCGCGTTGGGTGTTCCGTCGGCCACACTGTTGACAATAATATTCACTAACGTATTATACGCGACTACACTGAATATAAATTAAACCTTAACTGCTAATTTATTCCACATCTATGTACGTGACTATAGGTAAATCAATATGAACAGACTTAAATATAATGTGAGAGATATCATTTTAATTTGGTGATGGGCAAAGCCGTGATGTAAATTTCGATGATTATTTATTTTTAATTGTTATATTAAGTGCTTATGAAATAATCTCAGTACAGAGTACTAAAAAACCGACCTCAAAAGTTCGTGGAATTACATTTATTTGCGAAATTTTATTGAAATCTGTTACGAGAAAGTGCGCGAAACAGGATTCATCACCTAGTTTACCACCCGTAGAGTGAAATATTTTCTTCCAATTTATATTGGACCAATATTGACGTACCCTCTTTCCAACAAAAAAATCTTAATCGGTTCACCTGTTTTTGAAGTAAGTTAAAAAGAGCATCCTGATTCTTTTTGTGGAAAAATATGCATATTACAATATTTATCATAATTTATCATCAATAGTATTTAATACAATATTGTACTTTTTCGCATTTAAAAACCTTGCCAGTGCGGAACTAATTTCGAAACCTGTTACTTATTTTGAATTTCTTGTCACATTAAGCAACGACCGTCACGTATACAACTTTCACTGCGAAGAAATTTAAAGGAGACAAAATACGCTGTCTCAAAAAGAAAGCAAATAAATCATAAGAAAATCGACAAATGTTTAACGAACAACACATTAAGCGTAAAGTTTCTCTTACATGTAAGTATGCAAATTTCATGGCAGGCCCCATGAAATCCGTTGCCAGCTATAATCATAAAAACAAAAAGTAGTTGTTGAGCGCACCTGGCGCTAGAGAATGTGAGGGTCTCCAAATCAGAGATTAGTATGTCACGACCTAGAAACGGCGCGAACTCAACTAAACGCGCGAACGCTCTCGAAACCGTTACCACATTGAATTACAAATGTGGTGAGACGAGCAAGAGTGGAGTGTAAGGCGTCAGCGCGTTCTGAGCAGTTGTTGGTCGTGTAATCGGTCGGCGAACCGTTTGTTTACGGGAGGAGCGTAGTCGCGGAGCCGGTGCCGCGGAACTAGGTGTAGGTCAGGAAGCTGGAGGGGGCCGCTGCGCCAGCACACTCCGTCGCCGACGCAGCCGCGAGCGCACCGTGCAGAGATGGGCCCAACTTTGCCGGCCTAAACATTATTCCGGTTCCGTAACGTTCAATGAAAGTGACCCCTTTCCCACTGTTGTGACTTAAGGATGACCAGATGTAGGTGATTTTGACAAAAAAAATTTACGTGACAGTGTCAGCCGAAAGTGGCCATCTTCAAAGGATTTTCCGAGTATTCTGCAGGATTCTCCACGTCATGGTAAGTTTACGTAATTTATTATTTTCACTATTTATTCATACTATTACCGGTACCGTTCGAGAAAATAATGTAGCGTACATTGACCCACTTCGACTAAACAGTCTTCAACGAGCCGACATCAACAATACTGTGCTTTTCCACGATTATGCGAAACATACTTTTTTCGATATCATATTACAATCTCTTGGCGGAGATCTCGTTCTGTAGAGTTACTTCTATAAAATGTCGACTTGTTAAACTTTTATCATATTCCTCGTAATTCAACATGAAAGCGCAGCTTTCAACGAAATTTAAGCTCAGACAACTGATATTTACTAAGCTACTGGAGAAATGTTAGGAGTGGAAAGCATTTCGAGACAATCATACAATTACCTACACAATATTGTTAATAAAATTATAATATCAATTATTAAAATTTTTTTTTGCACCTACCGTTAATCTGTAAGGTTTTATAAATTTATTTTCTATAAGGCCTTTATATGAATTGAATAAAGACGACCTCAAATTCGTTCAAGTCAAGTGTTTGAAGTCCCTGGGTTCGATAGAGCCACATTGAGAGAGTATGAGACAAACAAAAAATAAGCTGTTCATCTATAAGATTGTATATATTATTATTTATTTTCTATAGAGCCATATTGAGAGAGACCTAAGCTAAACTAAACAGAAGACCAAAACCAAACAGATTTTGTTATTTTTTATTCAGTTAGAAATAAAAAATTCCTTATATTCCTTATATATTATATATTTGGCAAATAAATGTCGTCTGGTAAACGCCGCAAGAATGTAGAATGTCAAATATGACAGGAATTGGCAGTGATCTCAATCCATGCTCCGTGTGACAAATCAGACGACGCGCTCACGTGTGACTGTAATACTTTCTCTTCTAAAATGATAATATTATAGATTTAATATCTGTTGAATTGTCCACACCAGCTAAAGTCCTAATGGATATATGTCGATTTTTTTTAATTTATGGGAAGGGGGCCTATTTCATCACCAGGCGAAACATGTCCAATTATGCTCATAAACTTTTCCCAGAGTAGGAACTGGCAACCATTGAAATGGCTAGAAATATATGAAAGTAATGTAATTTTCGAGTCCCGATTATGCGTAATCGATTCTTGTGCGGGTAAAGTTTTCTTGAATGTCGACTTTATAGTGTGTTTGCGGAATCGGGGCGTTCACCTTAGAGGGGTTGGGAGGTTAGACCCAGCTATTTCGTCGTTTATTTAGTAGCAACTTCTGATGCGTCAAGAAAAGCAGTTTTAATAAAATTCACAAGCTACACTTCAAAACGAGTATCATTTACTTACAATCAATAACAACTAAAAGTTCCAGTTCACAATAAATAGGACAAAACATAACAGTATTAGGTAGTAAACTGTTATACAATCCCAGGCGCCTTCCCAACGTGTAACAACACAAATAACATTTTCATAAATAATATTATCTTCATTTTCTTTATGCTATTTGAGAATCTCTCAGAAATATAGCTTTGTTGAGCAGCTTATTCCTATTATGAGAGTACGACATATGTGATTATTCTCCATTTTACAAAATCCAGCTAAATAACAAATTGTAAGAAATCTACACAAAATAATCTCAGTACAGAGTACTAAAAAAACCGACCTCAAAAGTACGTGGAATTACGTCTATTTGCTAAGTTTTATTGAAATATCCCCTAGTTCACCATATACATATACAGGACTTGACAATGGAGATAGTAAAAATCGCTTTTCACTACTCAAAGTATATTGAGAGAAAAACGCTTTGAATTGGAGAAATAGCAAAATCAACCATAAAAATAATTGCTCCTTAAGTAAAATTTAGGCGCTATTTATAAAAAAGAATCTTCATGAGTGAACACTAGTGAACAGCCACACTTAGAAATGGATGATTTTCTTCAAAAAGAAATGGGACCACTACGGCAGTACCCCCTTTCCAACAAAAAAAGAATCATGAAAATCGGTTCATAAATACTGGAGTTATCGCGTAGCACACATACAAAAAAAACATACAGTCGAATCTGAGAACCTCCTCCTTTTTTGAAGTCGGTTAAAAACAAAAACAAACTAGACTACATAACATCACATGCTTCGCTCTGAGCCCAAAGTAAGTAGTTAAAGCACTTGTGTTATGGAAATCTGATACAACGACGGTACCACAAACACCCAGTCCTGAGACAATATAGAAAAGTTAGTACGTCTACATAAATACGGGGATCGAACGTTCTTAGTGTCGACACTAAGAACACCGGTGTGCAAGCCACTCAACCACGGAAGGCGCCAAAAAACAGTTGGAAACAAAATACTATCTACGATCAAAAGTAAACGTTGAAACAATATATCGCGTTCAGCGTGAATATAAGTTCTGTTTGCAATATATCCTGTTCATCCCGAATGTCAAAGCGCCAAATTAAGGTAAACATGACCTATTTCAACCCTCGTATGAAAGCGTTTGTTCTGTTTTCCATGCAGATCAATAATGAGCTGATGCTAACATAGAAAGCTACATGTACAGTCGGTGCCCTAAGATACCTGACTTACCTTAGCCGACCTTTTGGTTTTGAGAGCTTTCGTACGCATATTCTTTATGGTTGAAATTTGTATTCTGTATTTAAGTAAGTATACATTTAGCAGCATTAGAGCTCCTTGTGAAAGAGTTCATCCAGAGAGGTACTGCCACCTTACCTATTTTTGCCGCCAAGCAGTATTGTGAGCATTACCGCGTTCCGGTTTCGAAGGCTAAAGGTGCTGGTGAAATTACAGGCACATAGCACTTGTCAACATATGTATCAGGGTGTCGGGCGCAGTGGCAGTGCCACTCAGATTTATGCGATTTAAAGCTCTGAGTGGCACTGCAACTGTTAAGGACAGATGTGTCGCTTAGCACTAGACACACTACTTGTTGGTCCCATCTCGTAGTATGATGTAAACTAAGTTTCTTAAAACGTGATTCACTAATGATGCAAAAATGCTGAAATTATACCAAAATGAATTTTACGGCTCACGGGTTAACGGTTCAGGTATGTTAAGGCATCGACTGTACCTTACTACAAGGTATAAGGTATTTACTATCCTCCTACCTAAAACTCTGAAATCACAGACAAGACCTAAGCAATGAAACACGTGTGGTATTCAAATTACATAATTTCGTTCTCGCCTCGTAACAATACGCAGTTACATTGTCACACGACAAAACGGTACGGTACTTTGTCACATATCAAAAATACATTACGCTTTTTTCACGTCGTCTGTTTCCCTCACGTACGCATCACGTACACGTACAAGTTAACTAACGACATCCATTTCCTTGCTAAGTAAGCGGACCACAAAATGTACAAAACGTAAAACGAGACGAAGGGCACTCAGCCTATTAGCAAACAGCTCTACATTTACCAGAGCTTACCATTTTAATTCTTTCATTAAAGCACATTGCGTTTCTCTTAATATAAGAAAGACATTTTTGCAAAGCATATAACGTTGTCTATGGTAAAATGCAAGAAAGAATGCTCGGTGCAATGGTCTTATATACTAAAAAAGGCAGATAGGTTACCAACATGCCTGCATGATCGGACAGTTATTTGATTCGAAAATCAAATAACTGTACGATATTGCAATCAGTCTGCGTCGAGCAAAGAGACGAAGCTAACATTTGTAAAATTGAGTCATTTTATTCAAATTTCAAGAAAATTGCTGTCGTGTGTATTTAGAAAGCAAATAAAACATAACGAATCCCTTATCATGCGTAAGTAAGCAAAAATATTTACAATATTATATATTTTATTTATTTTTCTGTTTATTTTAATACAATAACAGTTGCTACTTGAAGATAGAGATAGTGGATTATTTTTGTAGCGAGTACGAAAAGGACGCATGAACACCGGTCATAGATTATAAGTGGATGAATAGTTTGATTCAATGATTAACTTAAAATATTCCCTTCAACTGAATCAATGAATTCATTAAAACACAAAACAATCAAACAGGAATTTTAATTAACTTTGAACAATTAGTATACTTATTAGATACAAATTGATTTTATTCATTATTCCCAAGTGAAAGTAATAGGGAGAAAGTTATTTGAATAGTAAACATAGTTATCCTATTCTCAAATCGATATTTCAACATCCAAGGCGTGGTTTACAACGACTGTTGAGGATTGTTGACGGAACTAACTACTATCTAAATACCGTCTACAAATACAATTCATTACCAAATTTGAAAATGCTTTTATGGGAACTATATACAGGGTTATTTATAAAATATTAACAACCTCGCAGTACTCCCGGGGCACTACACAGAACCTATTCGTGTCCATGTCAAGTCATCCGTGACCATGGAATCTGTAAGGCCCGAAACGTTGGTATGGTTTAGATCCGAAACAATATTTTCTATGTGTAACTATCGCGGAAACCTAAGAACTCGATACCAATTTAGGAAACGAACTTTCCTCTCCTCCTCATCTAGAGCCTGGAAACACTGAGTCGCCGATGTCGTCGAAAATATCTTTTCATTATGTGTAGGAATATGTAATAATACGAACGGAGCCCGAATGTTCGGCGACGTGCAATGCTGTTTAGAAACACGCGAAATATAATTTCTCGCGTTGATTCTACATACGTATGTATTTGTGAACACATCGCACTTAGTCGACGTTGCGTGACTTTCTTAACCGTTTACAATACAGACAGTTATTACAAAAGTATGCATTTTTACGATAATAGCACGGTTTAAAAGATACGCGCACCCAATATACATTTTTTGTATCATTTAAACTCGCATTACACGCAAACTTTTCAAAAGCCAGCCAGTGCATGAGTGAATAGGGTGAAGATATCTGCTACATTATAGTGGCGCAACGCCTGAATTTCCTCTTTAAAATATGCATACGAAATGCAGGAGCGTGCCGTATTAAAATTTTTGTTCAATTCACTGCATTTACTGCGGGCATTGCATTTCCACGTCTACAGATAAAGTGCGACGAGATGACAGTGTCAT